AGTGTCCCAAAGCCACATCTGGGCACCCCAGTCCCATCAGATGAGGTGGTTCCAGACGTGTTCCCATCCTACCTGCAACTTCCCCCACAGTCGACATTTGAAGCAGCCAACACAGTCCATTATCTTGGAAATATTCTTAAAGTGGTGCCTAAATTCCTCCTAGGGGAAAAGACAGTTGATCCTTGTTACACACTAATGATTAAGACTTCTGTGTACTGAACCAATAATGCATTCATTCTGGATTTCAGGCTAAATTCAGTGGGACTGAGTTAGGGAAACACCTCCTGAAGTGGGGTCCTCAGCACCAATCCCCCCATCTCCTCAAGGCACATCCCCCAAGAATCCAAACCATTCATGAAGCAAAATTAACTGGAAATACCTGACCCAGTGCTTGACACATTCTGGGATCCCTTTCACATCTAATGTTATCCCAGACAAACACCTAAAAATACCCTTTAGATACCAACTGCCCTGAGGAGAAGGGCTGGCCAGTTACCTTTAGTTTAGTGGCTTCCTTTTTATTCCCTGCAAAGAATGAGTTTTCATCAAAATGCAGAGGGAAAGACCTGAAATAGAATGAAAAAGAAGGGGTTTCTCCCTGCACAGCTTGTTGGTACTGCTGGAATCCAGACCCAGGGAAGCATCTGGTTAGGAGCACGAATGAAGCTGGTAGGTGTAGACACTGGACACCTCCAGGTGTATTTTCAGTCAAGCTGCTTTTTTCTTAGATCCCTTGGAGGGTTTCATTTTGAGCTTCCATCTCACCTTGGAGACATTTCCAGCAATTGCTCTGTGGTTTCTAAGCAATTGTGGTCTGTTTTCTAACAGAGGTAAGGACTGAAGGCACAGGAGTGTGACAAGATTCATTCAAACATCCATCACCTTAGGAGACACCCATTTCCATCTGGATCTGGTATTTTCCATTCCTCTTACTCCAGACTCTCTCCAACAGCCTTAACCTCCTTTTCTAACTATTTAGGACTTTTTTTCTAGTCAAAACCACAGAGCCAGGACTGGTGTTGCACACAGGAGTCAAGGGCTGACACACTGGCAGTTATTCAATTCAGTTCTGCTAAATCAAAAAGGCAGCCTGGGCTGTTCAACTGGGGGCTTAATTACCCTGTTTTGCAATTTCAATACAGATCAGGGTCATTGAGACCCTACATGGAGAACTGTGTCCAGTTCTGGAGCTCCCAACACAAGAAGGACGTGGAGCTGTTGGAGAGAGTCCAGAGGAGGCCACGGAGATGATCCCAGTGCTGGAGCAGCTCTGCTCTGGAGCCAGGCTGGGAGAGTTGGGGTGTTCAGCCTGGAGAAGAGAAGGCTCCAAGGAGACCTTAGAGCACCTTCCAGTGCCTGAAGGGGCTCCAGGAAAGCTGGGGAGGGACTTTTTGACAAGGGCTTGTGGCAAAAGGACAAGGGGTAATGGATTAAAACTGGAAGAGGGGAGATTTAGGTTAGATGTCAGGAAGAAATTCTTTGCTGTGAGGGTGATGAGACCCTGGCCCAGGTTGCCCAGGGAAGCTGTGGCTGCCCCATCCCTGACAGTGTTGAAGGGCAGGTTGGATGGGGCTTGAAGCAACCTGGGCTGGTGGGAGGTGTCTCTGCCCCTGGCAGGGGGGTGGGACTGGATGGGCTTGAAGGTCCCTCCCAACCCAAACCAGCCTGGGATTCTATGATTCACACCAACACACTCCCAGCAGTATTACCCCCTGCACAAATCCCATTGTCCCACTACAAGAAGAACCCAGAACCTGCCTTTCTAGATGCTCTAAGTGAAAGGTTAAGCAGGCTCAGAGATGCCAGGGTTGAAAGAGCCACTCTCCCCAGGTACCAAACATAATTACTTGGCCAGATGGAGAATTTCCAGCAACTGGGATTTCATTTCCTCATCATGAATTTTATTCCCTGTGTAGAGCTGGAATCCTGGGCGCTGGAAGAAGGGCAGCACTTTGGACAAGGCCCTCAGCTCTATCAGGTAGAGAAAATACAGGTTCTTGAGTCTTCTGGGACCTTCCCCTCTGGTGAGGACTTCATCAAACCTCTGCTGGAACTCAGTGACATTGGGGCCCCATTTCTTCTCTGCCCAGGTATCTGAGAGCAAAAAAAACAACAGAGAGATGAGGTGGTTGGGTCTAGTTTGGGTCTAGTTCTGGTTCAACTCCTCCCACCATCCCAAATGGTCCAATTTAGACTCTGACCAGGGAGGTCCAAGCTTTACAGCCCTTTCACTAACCACAGGCTGTGCAGGGGTCAAGAGAGATGTGCTTTTAAGCAACCTGCAACCCCAGCAAAGGCAGAACTGCAGAGCTTTCTCAGTGGGTTTGAAACCAGCATGCAGAGGCAGACACGGGCCTGTCCTGTCAAGCTCAGGTACTGAGGAATGAAAATGAACCCAACTAAATGAACAAAATGGGAGAAGCTTTGTCTTCTAAATCACCAGTGGCTAACCAGCCCAGCAGGAAAGAACTCCTTCCCAGCTCCAAGCTGAACCAGGCTCTTTACAAGGTGTCCATGGCACTTGCAGCTGGAATCCCTGCATGGATCCAGGCTGAGCCAAGGAACATCTTCTCAGAGCAGAGCTCATCTTCTGGAGTCTTCCACCAACAGGACCTATCCCCTTTCTACACAAGCCAAGCAAAACCACTTGGCTGTCTGTACCCAACCTTCTTTTCCTAATCCCCTCTGCACCCCCAGCTCATCTCTTGCCTTTGATGTTTCCCTTGTTGTTCCCCTCCCAACCCTAACACAATCTCACTCACATCAAGGTGAGGCCCCCGTGAGCTGCAGGGACTTAAGAGATTTACTTCCTTAAATATAAATGGCTGATGCAAATTCCAAATTCAGCTGTCTCTGGATCTGTAAATGATTTGTGTAAGCTTCAGCAGAGTGAAGGTGCTAGCCTTGGGCTGCAGGTACCACTCAGAACTGCCAAGACTAAAGCCTTCAGGAAGTCAGGCAGAACCTGCACCCCACTCTGCAGGAAGGTTCCACATTCCACCCACATGAGACACACAGGTCATGTTCTCACATCACTCTAGATTTTCAACCCCAGGGTTGAAATGTAGATCCTTCAGATAGCTACTTATGGATAAAGGAAATGGAAATGGCATGTGCAAATGGATCAAGGCTCTTGGGAAAGCCCAGCCAAGCATGTCATGGGCTAGATGAGATTTTTGCTAAACTGACCATCATATCAACAGGCTAGGAAGGAACAGCCTTGGTGGGCAGTTTGAACCCACTCCAGAATAACTTTGGAGTAAGAACAGAAGAAATAAGTGCTGGAAGTCTCACTACAGAGCAGAGTGCAGCCATTTCCAGACCTGCAGGCAAGTGGTAACTGCACTCCTGCTTCTGGTAACAACCCATGTGCTGAGGGAGGAAGGGAAGAGCCCAGAAGGAGGCCTGAACCTGCTGGAACAGACTCCAACCAGCATTCAGCTGAGCCACAGGAGTGTCAGTTTGGAAGTGAGCAGCAGAGCTGAGGCAGAAAGCAGCATTTACCTTGTAAAAGGTACCTGGCACTCAGGTGGATGTTGATGCTTGCATGGAGACCAGAAATGAGTTTGTAGAAAGCTCGTTTCTCTACACAGACACCTAGAAAGAAATGGGCTTTTTTAGGATACTGAAAGCATTTGTTGGATTTACCTCTCTTGCCTGTCAGACAGAGATCTAGTCCCACCTGAGAATGACCAGTAACTCCTCCCCACTCCCTGGCCCTTTTGTGTTCATCCCAGGAGGAGCACCCAAGCTTAGGAACAGGATTGATTACCTTTCAGCCACTTGTAAAATGTGTGCCCTGAAAAGGAAAGGAAAACCAGCAGGTCAGTTTGAGGTCCCTGACAGCAGCAGGAGAGCTTGAACACCTGGGGCATGTGTCAGGCTGCTTCTCTGACCACACCTTTCAGAGCACAGGGGGTTGACACAGGAAAGAGAGAGGGCCTGTGCAGAGGGGAAGGCATTACCCAAGCCTGATGCCTCAAAAAACCTCTGAGGCCAGTCCCCAGAGGACCTCTGCCCACCCCAGCTGGACAGAAGCAGGGAAAGGAGCATTACAAGAAGATGAAAATAGCTTTGCTTCCCACCCATCTGCCTGCTGCCTCTGTGACATGGTGTGACAGCAGCTCAACACAGCCTGTGGGCCTTCCCACCCAGCCCAGCAAAGACCAGGGGGGCAGGAGTGCTGCACAGCAGCACAGGGGAGAGAGGAACAAGGATCCCAGATTGCTTTTCTCATCTGGCCAGGGCAGAGAGAGTGGGATTTTTATACTAAAAAACCTAAATAAACAACACAAACAAACAAAAAAACCCCACATGGTGCAACCAAGTATGTTCAATCACACAGGTCAGTGTTCCCTGCTACTCCTGCTACATGCTGGGAAGTGATCTGGGGAACATAATCATGATTTGGAGACAGTTTGGAGGCAAATTTAAGGCCTCCACACAGGATGAGCCGGCCTGAGGGACAGGGAGCTCAGAGGAATCTCTCCACAGGGTCCTGAACACAGCAGAATTTGAAGACAACTTCTGATATTGCTAACCAGGTGCATTATCTGATGGTACAGCTGGTGACAGCATGAAGACACCACATTTGTTTCTCTTATCAGCAAAACCAGAGTGCCACTCACCTCCATCATCTGCTGGTGAAGAAAAAAAGCACAAGGGGTCAAAGGAGAGAAAAGAGGAGATAAAAATTACACGTGACCAAAATTAAACTCCAAAACACAAGCATGAAGATTGCTCTGCTAATCTGCTCTGACAAGAGAATGAGCCTCTCCAGGGAGGTTTGGAAATGTTGTGAACAACAGAAGACACCCAGCAGAGGAGCAATGCTCCTCAGCAACCTGACCAACGCAGGAGGGATCAGTATTTGCAAAGGAAGTAAAACCACTAGACAGCTGAAGGAGAGACTAGAAAACAAGGGACACAACCTCATAAAAAAGTCCCTCCCCAGCTTTCCTGGAGCCTCTTCAGGCACTGGAAGGTGCTCTAAGGTCTCCCTGGTGCCTCCTCTTCTCCAGGCTGAACAACCCCAGCTTTCCCAGCCTGTCTCCATTTCTACCTCTGCAGAGATCTCCTGTATTACCTCCAACAGGATACTCAAGGATCTCATCCATATTTCCTGCAGTTTATTATTAATCACTTGCAGGAACTCTGGCAGATCAGATCCTCTATTTTCAGATCATTTCCTCTATATTCATGTCCTCCTGTTTCCTCATGTCCCAAACAGCAGTCCTTCTCCCTCCCCTCAACAGACCTGTGTTAGTTCTTTCAGATCTTGCCCTAAACAGAGGTAGTCAAGGGAAAAAACAATATTTTAAAGGACATTTTCTTCCTCAGTGCTGCTCCTGAAGTGCCAGGCCTTTGCACAAGGGTCAAAGGAGAAGGGAAAGCACCTCCACAGTTTTGGGAAAATCAAGAGACCCAGAGGGTGCTGCTGGAGCTGCGTTCAGGTCAAACAAGGGGGAGTGAGATGGATGATGTTCTAGATACCTGTGCAGGATGGGGCATCAGGAGGCATCTCTAAGCAGACTTGGAAAATAAGCTCTTACATTTCCAAAACCCTTCCCTACTTCCATTTACACTACCTGGCCTTAGCCTCTGGGGCAGTTTCTCTCACTGGATGGTTTCCACTGAGGATCCCAGGCAGGTTCTCATTCCAGTCTGTCACAGGTGGTTTGGCATTGCTGAGCACAGAAACCAGGGACCCAGGAAGAGCTCAGGGCTCCGTCCTGCTCCCAGTCTCTCCAAAGCTCACACTTCTCCCAGGAGTGGAGGATCACACTTCCTTTCTCCATACTAGAAAGCCACCCTTCCAGGTACCTTTGTGTTAGCCATAAAATTCCCAGCCTGAATCAAGAGCTACAATGTATTTCTTATTCAGTGAGAGAAGTAGCTCAGAGAGCATTTACTGTTCCTGGAGCTAGGATCAGCACACTCCTAAACCACTTAGTGAGATAAATAAATGACTCACCTCCAGCAGATGCCAAAGGTCTTTTTACATTCTGAGGCCTAAGAAGGGAAAAAAAATAATCATTTAAATAAGAGATGTAAATAAGTGATTGTCTCCTTGCTGTGCAGAAACACAGCACAGCAGAAGTGGTTACTTCTCTGCAGTCAAATAGCTTAAGATCTTCAGGACACCTTCTGTGCTTTGCCTTTGCTCAGACAGGAAAAGGATGGAGCAAAATGCAGCTTTTTTCTTTCTTTTTTTCTTCTTTCTTTAGAAATAGCAGCTAGGAAAACTCAAGTGTCTACAGAGGTGCTAGTGGGCATTATCCCACAGCCCTGGTGCAACATGATACATCAGTACCAATGGGGAGGAAATCCCTAGAGAGAGCAGAGCAGGCAGGACTGCAGTCCAGTGCCCACCAGGACTGTCCCTCAGCCACAGGGGCACCCACAGCAGAATCCAGACTAGCACACAGACTGGGAGGGGAGCTCCCTGCAGTGCCAGGGAGGACAGGACTGTGTGCTCAGGGGGCAGCCACATGGTTTGTCCCCTCCCCTGACAGCCCCACTGCCCCAGCACGCCAGCAGGGATTACTGGAGGAGTTAAAGCACATGCAGCCCCTCTGCCAAACTCAGCACCTGCAACAAGCTTGTGCAACCTGCCTCCCCAGGCACCTACTTGAAGCAATTTTCTTCATAAATACTGTTCCAGATCTTCCAGGCATCTGGCCCTTTGTAGCCCGTGTAGCGCTCGGGGTTCA